TTTTTTTTTTTTGAGACAGGGTCTCACTATGTAGTTGAGACTGACCTAGAACTCACTATGTAGCCCAGGCTGGTCTAGAACTCACATCAGTCCTCCTGCCTCAGCCTCCCGAGTGCTGGGATTACAGGCATGTGCCACCACGCCCGGCTTAGTTCTTCCAATTTTTAGGATTTTCAGTGTTTATGACAGATGGAGGTACTGCACGGGGTCTGTGATGACACCTGCTGGTGATTCACAGCAGTCACTCATTGACCATGACCTTTGGCAAGTAGCTATTTTCCCTCAGAGAATCAGCTATCAGCTTGCTGCTGGGCTCTTGGCACAATACGATTGTGGAATTCAAGTTGTTCATCGTGAGCTGGCTTTTATCTGGTCTTCCTACGGTAGGTCTGACACTAGCATGAATCAAGTAGAAATTCTTTACCCAAAATGTGGCTGAAGCAGACCCCAAGGACCCAGGTGGCTCCCAGGACTACACTCCCACTTTGGCTGTGATGCTGCTTCTACCACCACTACGACCCTGGTACCACTTGACTGTCTTTACATGGTGTTAAAAAGAAATAGGCTCTTGTGATATTACAGCCCTGAATCAAGGGTGACACTGGAGGGCTCTGGGAGTGGCAAGACTTCAAGAAATACAACTGTCTAGTTTTCCCAGGAAGGAGAAAAAGCTTCAGGCAAGAATTTGCACTGATTCTTGAACAGAGTTAAACAGTCTCTCTAGATGATTATGGAATTAGAAATAGTATTGAAAGAAAGTTTGGACAAAGGTCATCTGGATGTACCTCTCAGTGGATCCCAAATGTGACCATATCTGCCATGACTCAGTTACGGACTACAGATACCTCTTCACATGGTTGAAGAGAAAAGGTGTTAATCACCAGGGACTAGGTAAGGTGTACAGTATATGGGAGGGTGAGAGGAACAAGGCCTGGGTGGAGCTTTCAGGAGGTTTTCCTGCACCTGGAATCTCATGGGTGGTTGGAGAAGCTACAGCTGTCATTGCAGGAAACCAGCAAATCAGCAAAGTGGTAACCATAGAACCACACTTCCTCTGCCATGGCCCACAGCAGCCAGTGGGTTCTCCACACCCTGTTTCTTTCTCTACTAGTTCATTTATTTTCGCATTCAAGTCTTATGTAAGTGCCCAATTGACAAAATCTCCACCACATCTAGAACCCTGTCTGTGAAGGACCTGAGATATATAGCTTTGAGCTCTCAAGACTCTTAAGTCTAGAAAGACACACAAGGAAAAGTTGTGTTGAGTAACCTAGTCTACTATGCGACTCTTTCTGCCCTGAGTAAAAGACACTCGCGACATCCAAGTAGATTGCACAGCCTGCTCTGGGGTAGTGTCAGTCCTCCACACTCACTAGAGCTTGTTCTACCAGCTCATTCACAAGGTGACCAAGAGGCCACTGGTGAGGCAAAGCAAGCACTGGACCATGTGGACTTTCTCATACAAAGAGTGGCCTGGCCGCTGCCAATGTGAACCCCTTGTTGAAGATGAAAGTTATTCTAGAGTTTTGTCTGTTTTCCTTTGATACCATATTTTTACCACCACTGCCATCTACACTTACTGGATTCTTTGAAAGGCAGATCAGATGACAACTGCAGGACAGCACATCTGACCAAAGTCACTT